CAAGCGACTGTTTGGTGCTTGTTCTCAGCCCACCCCACCGGCACAGGAGCAGCCACCCAGTGTCCATGCCACCACTGTGATTTGCAGGTGGCAGCGTCTTCCTGTTCTATTTCTGCTGAATGCAGAGGCAGCAAGTAGAGCTACGAGGACTGCAACCCTCTGACTTCTAACATTGGGAATCACAGGGAGCAGGGAGTAATTTTTTCTTCCTTTTTCCTTTATATTGGAAAAGACTTTTCCTTGAAGTAAAACACATAGGTGCAGGGATCAACATTCATACTCACCCATATGAAGAGCTGTATTTTCAGTGCATATCACATCCTATCTAACCCCGCGCGCACACATCCTACATACATCTGTGTCATGTACAGAAAAGGTTTGGATGGTTCAACAGAAGGCTGGCCCATTAGATCTTCTGGAAAACTCACGAGCTGTCTGACCTGCTGTCACTTTGCTTCAGAGATCCTAGTGTGTTGGGCTTCAGGCTCTCAGAGCGTGACGTTTCAGATCATCTTTTTACCTTTGTCTCTTCTGATTTTGTGGCTGTTAGTGGTGTCTTTAAAGTCACTCATCTCCCTATAGGGGTTTCTTGTCAATTTAAAAATAACCTGGAGGCAAGTTTGAGGTCTCCTTAAAACCTTAAAATTGTGTGCAAAATTACATGTGCACGAACATATTTCTATATCTATTTTTAAAAAATTCCATCCCCACAAAACATTGAACTGCAGAAAGGTAGAACCACATGAATGTGTGGGTGGGTGACACGCATGTGCCATCTACGAAAAGAGAAGATGGCAGGGCCAGCATGCCCACTTGGCCTTCCCTTTTGCTTGAGCTGGATGTGCCCAGTATTTTCTGGAGGTTCTTCCTTGTTATTTTCTTCTCACAATTATAGGCTTCTGCTGGCCTTGCGGCATCACCTGACTGCAAAGTTCAGCTATCTGGAGCTGTCTGGCAGACAGCAGTGAGGAGAGGGGGCTGCGGGCCCACACAGCTGCATTGCAGAAGCCTGGAAGGCATGCAGTGCGCTCCTCTGGCTGCTTGGGGTGGTCATCAAGAAGTACCTTCCTCAATTGAGTCAGGGAAGAGCACATTTTAGTTAGGAAAGAAGTTTCTCCAATTTGCCTACTTCCTCTGAGCAACCACAGGAAGGGAAAGCAGACGAGACACGAGCACTTTCCAGCGCAGTAGACGGGAGCATGGCTGCTGGTTCCCTGTGGTTCACACTGCCCTGCTTGCTCTGTGAAGAACAATTTGTTTATGCAGGCACCCCAAGGATTTTCTCGGCTCCCTCTGGATGGATGCTCCACAAATGCTGTCCACATCTCAGAGGCAAAGCACTTACCTCCCTGAGAAGTGTGAGCCACCTAAAGGAAGCTCTTCTGCTCTCCTCCCGCAGTTCCTGCCAGTCCATGAGCAGGAGATCTTGCTTGCTGCCTTCTGCCTGCTCTGCTTTTCCATGGACAGTTTATCCTCTGTTCCTTCTACCATGCTAGCCTGCCTTGGAGCCAGCCAACTAAGGAATAAAATCTGTATGAACTTGAACCAAATAAACCTTTCCTCCTTTAACTTTGGATGTTGGGTATTTTGTCTCAGCAATGAGAAAAGTAACCAAGACAGAAGCCATGTGGAGACGATGAGGAGGTGGCCCCAGTTTCCTCTGCATTTATCAGCGCACAACAAGGGGATGGTTTTGGTTCTAATTGTGTGTGAGCAAGGGAGACAAACAGGCTGATGACAGCAGCCACCACCAGCAATGGCCTCAGGTCCATTCCATGCACAAGTGCAGTGGCTGTTGGAACTGAAGAGATGGCCTGTGGAGGACATGGGGCCAGTGTGGTAGTCTACATAAGCATCAGGCAGAGCATGGATCACCCCTATTTGCTTTAAAGTTCTGTGTAGCCTGAGAGCTGGACCAAGTATCATGAATGAGCTCCGGGGAGGCCAGTTAGGCTGTGTCTAGAGAGACAGGTCTCAGACAGATGCCTGCAGACTCAGTGGGCTAAAGTAGGGGGATGGTCCTTACCCCTAGAGATACTCAACAGTAGAGAAGATGGAAAGGGCAGAAGTGCCAGCCACATTTACAGTCACTGCTCCCATGGATCATCAAGCTGGAGCTAATCTCCTAGGCAAAGGTGGGCCTTTGATGGATGGTGTGCTGTACACTGATTCTATCCCCCTACCTGTCTGAACAGGTCCTATATGCTCCCAACAGAAGTTTGAGTGTAGCACATAACAGAAGTGGCACACACTCTATGGGGACTAAGGGGAACTGTTAACTTGATTGGGTTGGAAGTCACCCTGGGGATTAGTAAAGCTCACTTCTGGGTGGATCACAGAGACATTACAGAGGAGGGCACTCTATCTGGTCTCTTGCACTCTTCCCAGCTACCACAAAGTAAACAGTTTTGCTTTGCCAAGTCCTCCCCACATGATGTTTCCATCTCAGAGCCAGTTAACCATGGACTGAAACCTCTGCAACCATAATCCAAATGAAACCTTTCCTCCTATAAGTGGTGGGGATTAGGTAATTTGTCCCAGCAGTGGAAATGCTGAGCAACACACATGCTGTTTCAAATACAGCTCAGACAGCCAGGCCTCATTTGCACAGCACTTCTGAAAGCAGGAAGCTGAGCTCTGCCTTTAGCTGTTGTGCCAGCCATGGGGAAGGAAAGGATGTGCTCAGCCGATGTCACTCCAGCCGGCATCCAGGCAATCCCCTCCTTTTACAAATGTGGAGACAGACAAAGGGCACCATGATACATAATCCACCTGTTTGCCTGCTGCCTTGGGAATCTTCCTAGGGTCTGTTAGCTTTTCAGAGAAGCTGAGCTTTTGGTACAAAGGATAAGCAGCAGTTAGGGCTGCTTCTTAAGCCTAGCATTCTCTGAGATGCTCTTTCTGCAGACTGTGAACAGGGTCAGACAGCAGCAAAGCCACTGTAGATTCTGTGTCTCTGCAGTTAAACTCAGGCCACAGGGCTTTGAAAACGTCTGCATTTTATCCTTTTAACGTGGGGATTACCATGTCTGTCAGGCTGTTACAATGCATCATTGTTCTAAAGAGGTAAGAATTCAGTTCATCATATGAGGGGCAACAGGAAGGGTGATTGCTGATTTTTAAAAAAATCTTATTCAAAAAGGTAATTACTTCCTTAACACTGTTGACAGAGAGGGTCCAAAATGAGGCAGAATTTAATAATTATCATAAACCTCACCATCTGTGACCATAACAGGTAGCAACAATATTAGAAATGGTTATAGCTGACGACTAGTTGCTCCTCTGCTTAAGCCCCCACTCCAGCTCCCTAAATACCCAGCTGCCATTTCCTAGCTGAGTATTTGGACACCGATAGGGACGAGGACCTCTAGACATCACCAGGTGGCCGAGTCACTGAACAGCACAGAACACTTCCACCAAGCCAGAAAAGAACAAAATCCCCACTAAACCACATGGTTTACTGAGCTCCTGCCATGTGCTCAGGTCTGAAAAGCTCCAGCCTGTGTCGTCAAGGATCTCATGCTTGGTTGAGGAGACCTGGCCAGCAAACACACGTTAGGTAGTGAGTAGTCTGGGGCTTCATCACTAGGATGCCATCAGAGATGGACGAAAGACCTGGAGTCACAAGTGGGATGTCAGAAGGGAAAGTAAGTTCCCATGGCTGGCTATGTGGACACACACAAGCATGGATAGAGGCAGGACACAAAGGAACCCAGCCTCCACTTGTCTGGCTTGCTTCTCTGCAGTGGTGTGGGAAGTCCCAGCCCTAGCCAGTACTACACGTGCAGCACTGCATAAAGCTGCCCAGAAGCATGCAGAGGTAACCCTGAGGGCCTGGGAAGAGAGCATCCCAGAAGTAAGACTCAACCAGGAGGTGACGGCTGAGGGGAAGACACCCAGGCTGTTTGTCCTTTGGCATGACAATGCTGAAACATGCCATACCTGGTTCCAGGCCCCAGGACTATGCCTCAGTTACCTAGAGGTAACTAGCCCAATAGTGTACTTTGGTTTTTCCTCCTCATTGTCTTCCTTTTCTGATTCCCTCATTCCATCTCCCTAGCAAACTGGCTATTCTCACATCTGTCCCAGGGTGTCTTTGGGGAATGTACTAAGGCAAAGGTGCTAAATTTTCCTGAGTTACAGCTCTGTCACCCCAGGGGAGTGGAGCCTGCAGGCAGCAGCTCTCCTTTCTGGAAGGCTTTCTCCTGGGTCATGAGCCTCCTTACACCGCTGCAGAGCAGGGCAGATACCAGTGATGACAGTTGCGGGGGAGGGGGCAGCTAAACTAAGAAGCTGTTCTCAGACCTTAGCTGACGGTGGATTCACAACCAACTACACCATTTCCTAGAAGAGAAAGCTGGAGCTTTGCTCTCCCACATTGCTCAACTAGTCAAAGGCAGAGGCAGGATTGGAATTCAGGCCTGAAAAAAATCAGAGAATCTGTGTTCTTTGGGACCTACTGGAACTAGAGAAGAGAAAACTATACTTAGTTATTGTCCTGAAAACACCGTCTCCTAATTTGCACAACTGGGAGGAAGTCCCTGGAGTCACCCCTCAGTTACCTGGGAAGCAGAGCAAACTCCACAGTAACTAAGCACTGATTATAGAAGGTATATGCCCTAAAGAGTCAGCATCAGGAATGGCAGCACCTGGCCTTGGGGACTAGGGGTAGGAAATGACTGGGAAAAGAGAGCTCTCACTCTGCCACCCAACCCATCTGCAGAGCAGTTTATTTTTCACACAACAGGGATTCTACTTCGGGCTCATTTGCTGAGCTTGAGAACTTAATTTGTCCTGGTGAACTGTGCCAAAGTGATGGAAAAGCAGAGGTGGCCAGGGGGTGTCAGCCTGGATCTAGGCAGGAGCATGGCTGGTCCTCAGGGAGACAGGAGAATGCGACATGGGCACTAGCAGGTAGGAGAGGAGGAAGTCAGGGCAGTGCCCCCACCTGCCCTGTCCATTCTCAACTGACTCTCTTTAAATCACCCATGACTCATTACCTGGGTTCCTGGTTTCAGGGATGCCACAAGGTCTTTGATCATTTTGGCTTCAGAGACTGTGATGCCACCCACCACAAAGAGCAGCAGGAGTGGGTGATCACTGGGATGAGGCCGGCTCACCTGTAAAACAGAACACCAGCATCAGATGGAGCCCCAGGGCTCTCACCCTGGTCAAGCAGGTGGGAGACAGAATCTTCATGAAGATTGATTTATGGTACAGAGGTGACCAGGCTTAGTGACCTCACTGACCAGGGTGAGGTACAACATGGCACTTGATTACAGCCTTTTACATAAAGATGTACCAAAAGAAAAGCTCAAGAGCCTGGGCATAAGAGGGACCGTTTATTCCTTAGCATAAGTTTGCTTTTCTTCTTTGACACATAGCTATGTCAATTTCCTTCACGGTGTGCACAATGCCCTATGGATACTATTTTTGTTTGTGTATTTGTTTCTGTGTTGGGTTTCTCTTGACTAGAAACTCAATCAGAGCAGGCCTCAAATCCACCTGGATCCCTGCTGAACTCCCAGTTCACTGAGTGCAGTTTTGGGCATAGACCAGGTACTACACAGATGTCCCTGAACAGAGCTCTTGGCAGATGGCAGCAGAGGGGTGCACCAAGATGAAGGGGGCCAGAGTCCATCCTCAAGGAGATCTCCATTGAAGATGGTCTCAGAGCTCAGGTTATCTGAGGGATTCTTTGGAAAGTTCAGGGTATCAGGCATGCCTTCTATTTATCTTTACTGTTTTCTGTGAGCACCTTAGGGAACAGAAGGAAGGGATGAAAGGGGAATGTACAGAGCTTCCGAATCTGTGGGAAAAGTTGTCAGTGAGACAAGTCCATATTCCCTCCAAACAGCCTGTTCTTTTCTTCTTGACTGCATCTGCAGACCACTTCTTCTAATCCACATGCTGAAATCAACAGCAACCCTGCTATGGTCCCGACCTGGAACTGCTCTCACTGAGGTCACTGATGGCATTATAGCACAGGAGGCAATGGACATCTGTCTACACCTAACAGACATTATTGGGGTATTTATCTCAGCTGATGACACCCTTATTGGCCACCATGATAATACTCTTTTGGTTGTCCTTTCCACCTAACTTTGTTTCATTTCTGATTTTTCTATAGGTTTTCCTCTTTTAGTCTGTGTCTTTAAATGTTAATTTTGCTTGCAGCTCCATGCTTGGTCTTTTCTCTTAATATAACATCCCTGAGGGACTCATTTTCTTATCTGCCTTCAGCCATCTTTTAGTGTTTTTTGTTTGTTTGTTTGTTTTTTTCTTGATGGAACCGGGAATTGAATTCAGGCGCTTGCACTTGCCAGGCAAGTGCTTATTCTACTGAGCCATCTCCCTGGCTCAGCCATCTTTTATACAATTCCCACATCTATGTCTTCAGGTCAAACATCTTATGGGGCTCATTGGAAATTACTATTTAGATATTCAGTCTCTCTAAATCCACCCTACTTTGGAATTTCTCACACCACCACCTTTGCAGTCACCTGAGCCACACAAACTGGAATCATCTTAGGTTTTGACATCTATTACATCTGGATCAAGCCCATTGTGCCTCTCAAAGGCACTGAAAATTGCTAACTCCCACTGCTGCTAAGCCCTAGATTACTGCCCCAGCCTCCTATCACCCCTACTATGCAGTCTCATCTCTGCCTACTAAGGTTTTCAACATACAAATAGAACTGACTATAGTGAGAATGCTAATTATTTTTGTGCATTACTTTTGTAAATTCTCAAAATATCCTCGGAAGGCAAACACAAGTATTACTATATTTTGCAGATGAAGATATTGAAGCAACTACCGTAAATGTGGAGCCAGGCTCAAACAGCTCTAAACACAGCTCTCCACATGCTCAGATACTCTGTACCATTTTTCTTTGCTCTAAGAAGCAAGTTCAAACTGCTTCTTTTAGGATCCTAAGCATGTGTACTGTGGATTTGACTCAGTCTCCATTTCTCCTACTTCATACACATGCAGCCACTGGTGGAGCCATTCACTCACAGTGACTAGTGCCAGAAAGTGTGGTTATTTTTTACTTTTATTTTTTAAACACTTGGTTGGATGTATGTCATTTTTATTGAAGACAGGTACTGGAAAGTGCATTTATCACAAAGGCATAGGTCAATTTATTTTCACAAAGTAAACAAACTGTGTGACCAGCACCCTGAGAACCTCTCAGGCATGTCTTGTCATTATTTCCTCAAGGATAAGCACCATTCTAATACTCAACATGGTTGCTCTGATTTTCCTTGCTCACATATCAGGGAGGTTTTCCTCATTAGTAGCAAGGATCCGCAATCCACAGACACAGTTCGGATCACACCAGTGGCCTCTGGCCTCTCTCTTTCCCCATGGCATTCCATATATTAAATAGTTGGAATATTCCTACACTATACTGACTTACATATCATTAATAGTTTTCTCTGTGTGTAATGCCACTGCCTTTTCTTCTGTTACTCTCTCTTAAAAGCATCCCTTCCTTTGAGAAATTCTCCATCATCCCTTGATTGCTGCCCATGACTGCTGTCACAGACTCCCCTTGGGATCTTGTCATTGGCAAAGCTATCCACTGTTGGATGTACCTGCTTCCTCCTCCAGACTCTGAGATCCTGGAGCCCAGGAACAGGGCACATTTTTCTTATATTGTTAACATCAAGCATGTAAATTACCACATGGTAAACTTTCAGTGTGTGCTACATGAATTAAGTAGATAAATGAATAAATGAGATAAACAGGTAAATAAGAGATAATCTTCTTCTTTCAAAAGACCTTTTAGAGGGTCTGTTTCATGCATAGTTCTTCAGGCAGTGCAACTAACCCCAAGATTCCTCCCAGCCACACAAACAACTGTTGTTTCTCCCTTAATCCTCAGACAGAAATACAATTGGCTCCAGGCTTCAGCATGGTACAGTATGTTCCCTGAAACATATGCTTTCCATAAGACAGTCTGGAATCTAAAGTACATAGCTAGAATGTACTTGGAAGGTTGTATTGGAAAATGAAAAAACAAATGAATAGTAAAAACAAAGAACTGTTTCCTGGGGCTATGGAGTGAGAGAATTTTAGTTGGGTACAAGTAAAGTCCTATGAATGCATGTGAGTGTTTGCTATTTTGGTTTCAGTTTAGATTTACATTTTGACACCAGGCTTTCCTTCAGAGTACATCAAGTCAATAGGCTATAAAGAAGTAAAACCCTTTCCATCTGAGTAACATTTTCTGCATAAACAGTTGAGCATAGCTGAGTCCTGCATGCACCTTAGTTTATGATATGATGCACTTTGAAGATGAAAGATTTAAGCATCATTTTTTGCCAATGCAAATGCACAGATGAGTAAAGCCAGTCAGTGATTTTCCTTTCATTTCTCCAAACCTTCACTGCCTAAGACTTTAAGGCATTGGTTCTGGTCAGAGGAGATGGGTTCCTTTCACCACAGCATCCTGGTCTTTGCAGCAGAGGCTGCCAGCCTTCTCTGTAGGTGTGGGCCTGGGGGGGAGCTCTTTGATGTCCTGATAGGCTGCCAGGCGCAGGGGTTGTCAAGAGAAGGGTTTCTGGAAGCTTTCCAGGAGTTCTAGGAATCTGTTGCCCATTTGTCCCTACATGTGCTCCTTCACTCAGTTTCTCTCCATCGTGAGTCGCTTGTCCCGGACCAGGCAAGGTCAGGTCCTTTACTACCCAGCAATGAGCAATGCTTTGTGCAAAGTAGAAACAGGGCTGCGGGCCTTAAAGGGTACTAAGCTCTGGACAGATTATGCTGACTTAGTAATGGTCCTTGGTAATGGCTTTTATACTAGCGAGAGTAAGTAACACCAGCCCTGCCACCCAACCCTTCATGTTTAGGGCCATATTTCTTATTCATTTATTCATCTACTCAGCAAATACTTATGGGGGCCAGATACTACATGAGGTATCAGGTGCACTAACCAAGAATAAAACCCTACTATCACAGAGCTTATAGTATAGTGCATAGAGAATGAAAATAAGTAAGTACACTGGTAATTGCAGAAGGTGGTAAGTGCTATGGAAGGAAATCAAGGAGGGGAGGGGCAAGCATTATTCTAGGTAATCCTTAGAATCTATGCTGAAAGGGGAAGCACTAATTTATAGGTAAAAACACTTAAGCATGTAGGGTAAATTAACTTAGTTCATGGCCACCATCTCGGTGGCTGTAGGGTCAAGACTAGAATCCAAGTGTCTCATTGTTGAACAGTAAAAGTTCTACCTTGCAATCTATACACTGCCATTAGAAGAAAAATTTTCAAATTAAAAGCATTTTTAGTAGCTTTGATCTCTTAAAACTTTTACTTTTAGTGTTTAGGAATACCAGCTAGTCACCAAGTGGCTCTGGGACTTACTCATGTAGTCACATTGTCCAAAGCTTCCATGCTGCCACCACTGTTGGTTTGCTGAGTTTGGTTTCTTGTAGCATTTGATGGCTTCCTCTTTCCTAAAACTTCTCCATGCCCACCCTCCATTTTCAATGTCCTTCTAGTCTCTGTCCTTTCTTCCTGGGCTCTCTGTAGATGATTCCCTTGCACCCACTTCTCTGTTAGCTGCTTGTTCCTGCATGGTCCCCTCCTAGCACATCCCTGGGCAGCTCTATCCCTGCCCACAGTTTAGTACCTCACTCAGGGTGATGGCTCGAGCTTGCTCCTGTTGGTTCAGGCAGTGATGAACTACACAGCTGCCCCACAGGCTCCCAAATTCCACAAGCCAAAAATACAGGCTACCTTCTTCCCCACTGCTGCTTCCTGATCAGAAATAGTGACTGGGGGCAAGAGTATCATGGTCTTCCCAAACCACTGGTCCTGGACAACTTCCGCTCACTTACCACTGCATCCAATTGATACCCAGTCCTGTGGAATCTACCAAAGCTATATCCCACATTCTTTTTCTCAGCCCAGACTCACCTCCCCTTACCATTCTTGATTCTCCCTTTTTCAGTGCTACCACAGCAATCCTTATTTTTGTCAGAGAATTTCTGAAAATTATTTGATAACACCTCATTATTCTTGGTCAAATTTCAAATCTCAAGCCCCTATGAACCTCGCTTTTGCTCATGTTTGTCTTCACATCCTTTACCTCCCCACACTGTACCTAGGCC